TACTTGGCACAGATATACTATACAGGTATACTATTGATGTCTTGATGTCAGTGGCTTCTATCTCCTCCTTTGAGCAGCTTATTATTCCAGCAAGGTACCTGATCACCGGTAGGGTGTAGGTTTTGATTGCCCTGATCTTGTTCTTCCCATTCAGCTGACTTTTCAGGACTTGCCTGACCCTCTGCAGGTATTTTGTGGTTGCAGCTTTCCTTGCCTATTCATGGTTTCCATTTGCTTGTGGGATTCCAAGGTGCTTGTAGCTGTCCCTGATATTGCTGATACTGCCTTCTGGTAGTGCGATGCCCTCAGGTCTGACTACCTTAACTCTATTGGTTACCATCCGACTACACTTCTTCAGTCCGAATGACATTCCAGTCTCATTGCTGTATATCCTTGTGGTGTGGATTAGCGAATTGAGGTCTCGTTCACTCCTCGCATACAGCTTGGTGTCATCCATGTAGAGGAGGTGGCTGATGCTGAATTCCATCTGTATCTGGTGTCACGGACTCAAGCTCCGGGGACTCGGGGTCCGTGAGCAGCGTGGACTACTGTTATAATTATTGCTGTTATTTTGTGATGTGTGTGTTGTCTGCACTGCTGCTGTTCTTGTGATTCCCCATCCTTGTATGTATAGGCAAGTGGGTGTGTCTGTGAATGTGGCTGAGTACTGGGTTTCAGGTAGGCCTGGTGGGCGTATCCTGTCTAGAGGATGGCCACACCTGAAGCAGATGATCACAAACCCTGAAGCTAATGAAGTGTCGTTGGAGAGCTTCTTAAGGCTGTGGCTGAGCGCTCCTCGGCATGGGATTGTTGTGTGAGACTCCACGTTAGTGTCGATAAATGTCAAGTTCAGCGAGTGCATGCCTGCGGTAGTCGAGTGTCCTGACAAGTTGCCTCTTTGTTATTTTCTCCAGGAAGGTGCAGGGAAGACAAGAGCAGCGAGCACGGGGTGTGGGGACACACAGGAGCGGAAGAGCACGGACTTGTGGGTGAAGACACGACACGGAAGTCAAGGGGAAAACACGGGGATCTATTCTGTGAACTATTTGCACCACTGTAAATAAACGCACTACCTTCATCATTAAGTCCTGCATCTTGGGTCCTCATTCCTCTCATCCCCACGGTCTGCCACACAGACCGTAACATCTGGTATCCATAGCCAGTCTTTTCAATAATCTCATTGAGGGGTTCTGGCCTATGTAGAAGAGCAGTGGGCACAGGACATCTCCTTGGTAGATTCCGCAGTTAATGGTGATTTTTGCTATTTGCTTGAAGTTAGCCTCTAGTGTTGTTTTCCACATTCCCGCTGAGTTCTGTTTTGGGTGCTTAACTACATGTTATTAGGATACACTCATGTGAAAAAGAAAGTTTTCACTGGAAAGAGTAGAGTCCTGTGAAAATTGTATGTACATTTGTGTTTCTTTCAGTACCTCCTTTGTTTCCGTGTTTATACCTTGGTCCCTTCTGTTTCCTGGTCTCTTTCATCTCAGGTATTAGTAGTTATGTTCTATTGTTTGGCTATTTCCTGTTTTATTTTAAAGTTATTCCCTGATTGTGTTCACCTATATGTTCAGTTAAATAACTGAACTAATATAAAGACATTCATACAGATATTTTTTGTGTTCTCATTTTTGCTTAGCTTTTATCCATTCAATAATATTTTTTAAATGTATTTTCCTCTAAGCTGCTCTATTTGACATCCCTTTTATGAGATTTTCATGATTTTTCCTTTGCACCACCCATTCTGTGTTGTCACTGTGTATTCTGCATATTTTTCTGTATACTTGTTGTCTGGAAAGCACCTTGAGTAAACTCCTGATTGTTTCTAAGTGTGCAACAGAAATAAATGACCTGAATTCAAGTCTGGGCCACAGAAGACCACTGCTGTACCTGAGCTCTTTTGTGGGTAATTACAAAAGGGTACTTATCACCATGACAGCACAGCTGCACAAATGACAACCAGCTGTGAGAGTTTACTTCCAGCTGCTGCCCCCAGGAAGCATTAAAAGATGTTTGTTTGAACTTTAGCAGACATTAAAGCACACTTTTAATAGATTTTAGCTGACATAAGATTTCAGAAAGCCTGTAATAACCTGGTTGTCTATAACTGTGAAATAAAGTAAAAGCTTGGAAAGTTTAAATTTGTTGTCTTGTTGCGTTTTTCCCGACGATGATGAAGCATCTGCTGTGTCACACTGCCCTCTGCTGCACCAGAGTGAAACTGCACCCATCACATCAGTTATAAATACGCAAGGTTTCTTTGTTGAACATGTTGGATGATCCTGTTAATAAACTTCTGTTCAATTCAGTAAAAGTTTATTTATACAGTACCAAATCACAACAGCAGTTGCCGCAATGTGCTTTCTATTTTAAGGTAAAGACCCTATAGTAATACAAAGACAACAGAGAAAAACACAACAATCATGTCCCCATATAAGCAAGCACTTTGGTGAAAGTGGGAAGGAAAAACTCCCTTTCAATAGGAAAAAGCCTCAAGCAGAACCAATCTCAGGGAAGGGCGGCCATCTGCTCCCCGACTGGTAGGGGTGAAGGGAGGATGCTGTGGAAGAGAGCCAGAGATTAATAATAAGTAATGATTAAATGCAGAGAGGTGTATAAACACATATGAGTGAAGAAGAAACACTCAGTGGATCATGGGAATCCATCAGCAGTCTACACCTATTGCAGCATAACTAAGGGAGGATTCAGGGTCACCTGACCCAGCACTAACTATATGCTTTAGCAAAAAGGAAAATTTGAAGCCTAATCTTGAAAGTAGTGTCTGTTTCCTGAATCCAAACCGGAAGCTGGTTCCATAGAAGAGGGGCCTGAAAACCGAAGGTTCTCCCTCCCATTCTACTTTTAAACACTGTACTGTTTCTGTACTGTGATGAGCTTTGAAACCCAACTGAAACTCTTCAAATAAGCACTATAACAACAACATTTAATAACAGTGCTAATCTTATGGATAAATATCAAGTCTAGCCAATACCAAGAAGTATTATTATTTCCCTACTCAAGAAATTTTATACAATTTCTTGTTTAATAAAGCTGCAGCCTGTGCAGACTTAATTCCAGACTGTTAAGCATGCCTCATGGACATGCTCATGGACCTCATGGAACTCAAACAGCAATCAAATGATTACTTTTTTATTTTTTTTATTTTTTGTGTTTTTGTATTCTGAATTACATTTACCAATAAAGTGTGAAAGTCTGAAATAAAAACAACAAAACAATAAATCACTTACAAACAAAAAGTCTTCCTCATACCACTCTTGGATATTCGTTTCCCAACAGCTGTAATAACATTTTTAGTGCTTAAAAATGAAAAGAAAGCATCATTTTTCAAATCCAGAATTTCAATCTGCTGAAACTTTACAAAGGTACAACGCTCAGTGTCTCTGTGGTTTAATAAGATCAGCCATTCTCTCTGAGGCAATACCCATGTGTTCTCAAGCAAGTGGCAAAAAGCTCATTATGATCCCTGTCTCGTGATATCCATCCCTCCATCCATCCATCTTCTTCCACTCTGGGGCCAGGTCGCGGGGCAGCAGCCTAAGCAGAGAAGCCCAGACTTCCCTCTCCCCGTCCACCTCCTCCAGCTTGTCCAGGGCCAGCTGAGAGATATAATCTCTCCAGCTTGTCCCGGGCCAACCCTGGGTCCCCCTCCCTGATTCTATATGATTCAATATGTATTAACTAATGGAGTTTTTTCCCTTTTGTTTATTTATTGTTATTTTCTTTCTTTGTTTGATTTTGAAAGTAAAACCAGAATAAATGTAAATGAAATGCAAACATGGCCTATTAGCAGCTCTTTTATTCTGCTTGGATTTGTGACTAAGGTTGTTTCACCTTGTCAGACCATGTTATTCCTCCTTTCCCTTGATAAATGCATTAAACACAGAAGTGGCTGAACACTGCTGTGTCTCCATCAGAGTCGGACTGGACACCGGCAGCTAGCACATTGGAAACATTATGGATGAACCCGTGTCTAACTTCACAGGAGCTTTGGTTGGTGTAAAAAGATCAATCAACTCGACACAACTCAAATCCTCCAAACAGACCCAAGAAGTCAAAGGGCACCTCATTATGTCAGTCTGTTTGTTTTAGAAAAGATAACGAAGGAAACGCCATCTCTAATAAAAGTTTTACATTGTCTACTTTTTCCATTTCCAATAACACAATCTTTTTTTCGTTTTGAAATCAGAGACCAAAAATTGCACAGAGTTGAATATTTATAGTGTTTCTTTGTGAACATTTTACACAAGTATGTCATCTTTGCAAGAGTTGCTTTGTTTCAAACTAATTCGTAATTTATTTTGTAATCTTTGGTTCTTCTGTATTCCTGCCATCTCAGTGTTAAGGGAGGCAGACTAAGAAAGGGAGCAAACCTTTATTGCCCCAGCTCCATCACCATCACCTGCTCACAATCTGTTAAGAACTCTCCAGTATATAAACTCCTCTGTGTGTCTTTGGTCCTTTGCAGTGTTTTCTTGTTCTCACCAGTTAAGCCTTCCAGAAATTTCTTTGGTCTTGTTTGTTTCCTTCCTTGTGTTTCTGCCCGTCTTTGGATTTTTGCCTCTTCCTGACAGATTTGTTTGGTCACGATTGCTTCCTGCCTGATTCAAATGTGATTTTGAGAGAAGTTAAATATTTCTGCTGAACATTGCTGCCTGTGAACTCTTTAAATGAACACACACAGTCATGACGCCCTCTGAAGGAATGGAAACATGACTGTGTGCGTTAATTTGAGACTTTAATGAATCTTAATAAAACTTCATGATTTATGTATGTATATGAGGTTCAACTGCTTTACGTGCCCGAAATGTGACCGCGTGAAAAGTTTAATCTCCCATAACAAGAAGAACGCAGGAAAACACATGCCCACACCCCCCCCAGTGTTCAGCCTGGTACAACAGTAAACAATAAGACAAAAGCTCTCTGTCCTCTGCAGCCTGATCAGACCTACATCACTGCCGTCCTCAGTCTGACAGCAGCACCAGGACTCTGCGGAACCCTCCGGGACCCTCCAGGACTCCCACAGGAATATGGACCCCAAGCGCCTCTCCTCAAGCTCTCAGCAACAGGTTCGGCTCAGGCAAAAGGTAAAAGATCTGCTGCTCTTCACACAGCAAACGTGATTATTTTACATGAACACACACACTCAAAAAAAAAAAAAGCAACGCAAAAATGAACAAAACAATAAAAAAGTGGGTTTGGTTTCACTCAATGACTCAGCGAGAATCTGATTATTATTTACAGGAAAATTAGTGGGAGAAAAAAGTAAACTTACCTCCAAAGTACTACAAAAAATACAACAACAGTATGATAACAAAGCACTGACTGGACAATGAATACAGGAGTTTCTAAACTGACTGCAGTACCTTTATTGAGGAGTTAAAGTGCAATTTGGAAGGTGGGGGAACCCTTACACTTTGTTTCATGAGCTTTGTGTACAGGCTGTGATTTGCTAACCCTGCTGCTACTCCAATATTCACCGTCCTTTGTGGAGAATTAAACTTAACAAGATGAAAGCAGAGAGCTTCATGGCTCAACAATACAAAGCAAGTTTTTTTTTTTAAAAAAAAGCACTTTAACCTCTGATTTTAATCATCAGAAACAATTTGTTGTTGAGGGATGACCTGAGGAGGTAGGGAAGCTTTCACTGCAGCAAATGTATGAGTAAAATGCAGCAAAAGAAAACAACTGCATTTAAACACAGTGTGGAAATTGACTTATTTCAGCCTATGAGGGGCTACAGGAAGTTAGCAGAGTGAGTGCAGCTTTAAAGACAAATACAAAAGTGAAGGAAACTTTGCAAAATCAGTGTAACACTGAATGAAAATCAGCATCCTCACTGTCTCACACTTACAGTCACATCAGCACTAAAACAGTTTAAGGAGGGGCACACAGCCTCCTGCAGAAGCTGCTGTCATGAAGACGAAATCCCTTACTTCATGGCAATCAGAGAGAGTACGAAATAAACTTTCGTTTTTAGTCTTTGGGCGGGATGCCATGACAGCCTATAAAAATGCTAAAAAAGGTGATCACAGCTGAAGGCATGCCCACGTTAACAGATGGTTTAATGAATGCCTCAAAGGAAAAACTGAGAATTTCTTTAAACATTCAGATCAGATTTCAACTGAAGGAAAATCCTCCTTTAAATTTATACCAGCAGTAGCAGGTCAGCTTTCAGATAAAAGTTCAAACACTCAAGCTTGACATGATGAAAGTTGAATCTACAGTTTAGCTGTGGTTGTATAGAAGTGACACAAACTTGAAGAAGTCCTTTCTCAGAAATCTAATATCTAGTGTGAGAATGTGGTGTGTGAAGAATTCAAAAGCAGGACACAATCAGACCAAAAGTGAGTCATTTATTTGGCTGTTTGAACAAAAGGTAAACAAAAACCAGAAAGAAACCAGCATCCACAACGGGCACAAGGAGCAAAAAAATTAACTTGAGGAATACAGGAGCACAAAGGAAGACAAGGTTGCAGGACACAGCACAGGTGAAAGCAGTTAATAGCAAATGAGAATAAGGGAAATGATTGTGTTAGTGCAGAATACAAATAGTACAGCCTGCAATAAATAAACAATATAGTTACAGTAAAAGTGCCACAGGTGCAAAGTATGATGTGCAAACTTTATGTACACAATAGTGATTAAAACAAACAAATAAAATACAAACATTAAATTAGGTTAAGTTAGACAAGTTAAACAACATGGCTCTGTCTGTATTTATAACAGTTCCATCCTTTCTTAATCTATGACAGATACTCTAAAATATTTTGACATCATGTATTATGATTTTCAGTCATTTTATGAAAAAAAACCCAAACAAACCCGCAGTTCTGCCATCATAGTTTTCTCAGAAGGGACGGTATGCCTGAAACTGCACCTGGCTCTGAAAGCTACCAACTGTTCATCCTCACAGAGATCAGAACCAGGGAGACAGGCCCAGCTACAAACATTGTTCAAATATTCCTGAAAGGTTTGTTCACCATCTGCTCTGGCTGCTCGATTGTCAAACTGCACGTACTTCAGGATATCTTCGAGTCTTCTTCTAGATCTGTCTCTTCGAAATATCAGAGTGTAGCCATTAGAAGTCAAAAATCAGAACAAAATCTGTATAGTGCTAAAGATATTTCCACACAACTTTCTGTTTCCCTTTCCTTTCCTTTCCACACCAATGGAACAGTTTCTATTAATAGCTATGAAAAGTTGTTAAAGTAGAATTATGACTAATTCATGGTAGGAAACATTTCTATAATTGAAAATACCGCAGCAGCTGCATGGCTTCATAAATGAGCCAACATAGTCTCTTGGAGGTATATGAACGTAGTGATGCAAAGTTCAAACGCCAGCCTTTTTTCTTTCTTAGCTATGACAGTGATGTGTCCAGCATGTGGAAGAAAGCGCATGTTGCTGTAGGATGGTGTGTTGTGTATGTGGTGACTGGTGGAGAATGTCAACAGTGCACTGAGTGTTCGCATGGACGTGAAACAAAGATGTCACTTCTTTAAATGTTGCAGGAGCTCTGCGTGGCAGTCTGTCGGTGGAGGTCAGAGGTCAAACTGCTTTCTTTAAAAGCTTTATCAAAATCAGCAGGTTTACAGTGACAGACACAGTGGCTTTCTTCAGCATCAACAGCAAATGCACACTGAGGAAGAGGAGGGAAATGAAAGTACATAAATACATACATGCAGGGGAGCTGACAACACCAGAGCAGCTTCTTCTGCAGCACAGGTCAAACTTATCATCCCGACAGTGAAAACATCAAAAGGATAAACAGTATTTGTAAGTGAGGAAGTTTACTGAAAATTAATCTTCAGCTCCTCTTATTTTGGTTGCCACAGATGATCATTTGCCTCCATCTCCACAACAACCCTCTGTATGTCCTCCTTCACTATATCCATGAACCTCCTCTAACGTCTTTCTTTTTCCTCCTGCCAGCCAGCTCCACCTTCATCATCATTTGTCCAGTACATTCACTCTCCCTCCTCTGCACATGTGCAAATCACCTCAGCCTCACGTTTCTGACTGAGCTCATTTTTACTCCCAATGGAAATCTGAGCACCTTCAGTAGCAGATATCAATCTGGTTTGCAGAAATGTATAATTGCGGGATTTTGGGGGAGAAACTGAGGTTTAATTCTTTATTTATTGCATAGATTGTTGCATAACTTTGGGGTATTTCACTCTGTTTGAGAAAACTGTTGATGATTACTTAAAAGATGTGACTGTTTAGAGTGTTTTGTGTTACTTTCTAGTGTAGATTAGCTCTACAGGGCAAACAGCGGCATCTTGCCTTTAGAATGGATTTAGTGGTCAAAGCGGGTACTGCAGCTGCAGGTCAAAAACGGCTTTGTTGTTCTGCTCCGCTCACGGCGCGGGCACAAGCGCAAGCGCAATGAGATGAATGGCCGCAGCACCTGACGGCCCACCAGGAAGTGTGGCGGACAAATCCTCGGCCGTTAATCCCCGCTCGGTTAGGTACCCGGAGTAGCCTCCGACAAGTAGAATGCTCAGCGGGTCGGAGCGTTCTGTCTGACCGTCGGGACCGTCTCCGCTCCGGGTTCGGCCTCCGGGATCACGCGGGGCTGGTCGTCTCCTCCTCGCCCCCCACCCCCCCGCCTGTCGGGCTCCAGACCCCGCTGCTGCTGAGCTGAAGCTCTGTGAAGCTCCGTGAAGCTCCGGGCACCTCCACCCTGACTGCAATGGGATGCTGCGGTAGCACGGAGGTAAGCGCGGCCTGGTTCGGTTCGGCCCGGTTCGGCTCGGTCCAGTACCGTGCTCGTTCTTCTAAGCGTGTCCTTCAGCAGAGCGCCGGTGTGTGTTTATTTTGTGACCGTGAAAGGGAAACCGGTCCCGGGGACCAGAGCGGGCCGAGCTAGGATTAGAGCCAGCAGCTCGTTTAATCCAATTAGCTCCAGCCGGGAACAGGCGGGTAACCGCGGCCTGTGAGCGGCCCCGCTCCGCTCTCTGCGGCCGTAAACAGACACGGAGCTGGGGGATGGAGCCGAGTTAGCAGGCCGGGGCAGGTGGGATAGAGGGAGGGATGGAGTTCCTGAAGGCCCTGCTGTGCTCTCACCGTGTGTGTGTGTGTGCGCGTGCGTGCGTGTGTGTCTTTCAGAGGACAAAGAGAGAATGGAGACCGCTGGAGGACCGGAGCTGCACAGACCTGCCCTGGTTTCTGCTCTTCACCGTCTTCTGCGTCGGCATGGTAACCACAGAAACCCTCCATCAGCACCCACATCACTCACAGTACTACAGTAATGCTACAGTAATAAAAGACACAATACTACGATGATAATATGGCGATAGTAACCTGGTATTCCAGTGATATTACCTCAGGAGTACATACAGTAATGTTGCCACACTACACTACAGTACTATTACTGTAATACCCTGGGTATTATACCTCTGAACTATAGTAATATTACATTAATGATATGCCTAATACTACTACAATGATAACAAAGTAAATATTACAGTAAAGATGTTCTCATAACTACAGTAATTTTAGAGTATTAATACCAACTAATAGTACAATGACAATAAGGTATTAATATCCTATTATTACAGTAATGAAAACCTCAGAACTACAATATTATCGTAGAAATATTGTTCTTAGTACTACAGTGATACTACAGTAACATCCCAGTATTACAGTGATGATACCCTCGGATATACAGTATCAATACAGTAATAATAGCACACAAAACTACAGTGATACTCCGGTAATTGCAGTTAATTACAGCAATTACAGTAATGGTACCCCAGTACTACAGTAATAATACAGTAACAATACCCTCAACATTACAGTGATATTATAGCAATAAGAGTTCCAAACAATAGTAATAGTGCATTTATATTACCTCACAATAATATAGTAGTACCACAGTAATAACACTTCCTGTACTACAGTGATACTGTAGCAATAGCACCCTCCTGTATTACAGCAATTATACCACCAGTGCTACAGTGATACTACAGTAGTGATACCTCATAAAACAGTCATACTATGCTAATAATGTCCACCAGCACTAGCTGCTAAGTAAAATAAAAGCACAAATTATAGTAGATTTTTGGGTAAATAAGAGCCTACTTGTGATTATGAGCATAACTCTTCTGTCTGTGTTGCTCACAAAATAATTTTATCAGTTTGTGAAGGATTATGTTCAAAATCTCTAACGATAACTGCAATAAAAGTATTTTCACTGTTAGCAATCTTGATCCCATATTAGCCATTATTTAAAAGTTACTTGCTTCGTTTATGAATATTTTCTGAGTTACATGCGGAATAAATTTTAGTTACTGAAATAAAAACTAGACTTAATTAAAAAAATGAAATGATATTGTTACTTATTAAATTCACCTTGGATATTTTGCCCAACGTATTCTTAATGTGTTCTTTGAAGCAGGTCATATAAAAAAATAAGGTTAAAATCATCACTTCATTACAAAGACTGGAAGAACATAAACAATAATGGATATATAGCTCATAAACGGTGAAATACAATGCTTGTCCTTCCTTCTTGAGAGACGATTGAGTGGTTTTTATTAAGGCTTTCTGTGGCTGAAGTCAAATTAATTAATAATAAAAGTAAAAGTAACACAGCAACGGTCATACCGAGTAGTAAGGACAATTCAATTTTATTTATATAGCGCCAAATCACAACAACAGTTGCCTCAAGGCGCTTTATATTGTAAAGTAGATCCTAGAAAAATAGATACAGAGAAAAATGCAACAATCATATGACCCACTATGAGCAAGCACTTTGGCGACAGTGGGAAGGAAAAACTCTAATGAGTGGCTATTTGAGTCTGAAGCAGTCTGAACAGATGTAACCAGTAAAGTAGCTGATGGCTAAAAATGAAACTATGTTTTATTTTGTTTTTTAAACTTAAATGAGCATATTTTATTCACTGACACTAAACCAAAGATTTTAAATGAAATAAAAATACAAATTATTATGAATCTGCATCTTACTGACTGATAAGCGTTGACCCAGAAAATCAGGCGAGTGAATTTAGCATTTTCTGATGTTTATGGTTGAGAGTTGGTGCTAAAATGTGGAACAAGCCTGTTTTAGTCTAATGTTTTTCATAAAGAACGGACTCTGAGGCTTCTCTGTAACTGGGATTTGGCTGAGCAGGGTGAGAGCGCATGACGGTATAAGCAAGACGTGGGAGATGTGTGAACACTTTGAGAGAAAAAAACATGTATGAAAAGTAAAGTCGGTGAAACTTGCTTTTACAGCTTTGTCTTGTTAAGAATCGACTTGAAGAAACTGTTTGCACTGTAGTTAGAAGCCCCTTCAAACTGCTGCCTGCCTCTGTAATATGTTTGGTGTTGTTGATGTTCTAACAGCGTTTCTGTTTGAGTTGATTTATGAGGAAAATTACTTACTGGACATGCAGCTGAATACTTTTCTGCTGCCAGAAGCACAGATACAGAAAATCTTTACCAGCTTGTGCCACAGTGACTGCATTCATTTTACATTTTAACCCCTTATTGTAAATTTTGACTTAATAAGTCTTCAGTTTTTTTATATTTTATATACAGTTAGCCATTGTAACACAGTAATCGCTGACGATGGATTACTGCTGAAATGCCGCTGAGTCTTTGCCCCTTAATAAACATGGTTAAGTAGTTTTTCTTCCTTTTCAGCTTAGTAATTACACAACTTTTGGGTTCTCTTACATCTTAAATTTCTGAGAAAAAAACTCAGAAGTAAAGAAAAGACAGCACAGATTGCTTTACTTTTCAAGGTGAAGTGGAAAGATGTTCATTCGCTGGCCCTGGTGGGTTCAACAACTCAAGCGTAAACGCTGTTAGAACATCAACAACATCTCCTGCCAGACTTATTGAGGCAAGCAGCAGTTTGAAGAGACCTGTAACTACAGCACAGCAGTGATAAAACTCATTTTTATTTGCGGCACGTCTGAAGGCAGAAGGCCAGGCTGTATGATGCGGGCAAACTCTCTGATTATTTAGGTGTATTATTTTTTGACTCGGCACCACGACATGTTTGGTTTTATTAAATGCCTCATTCTAACCATAGCTGTTAGACTCAGGCTTGTGAAAGTTGTGAGGTACCTGAAAAAATACAATCAGAATGAATTCTTTTCCAAACTATAACTTGATGGTTAATTGTGTGACTCTATGTGGACCACACTGAAGCATGTTATTAAACTATATATTTCTGCCCCTTTATATAATTTTTTGGGGGGACTGAATGAATGTGCACATCTGGATTAAGATTCTTGTGGTAACAGGAAGTAGCAGCAGGAGCAGAGCAGGCAGCTGATTGGCTTTTAAAGCCTCAGGCAGAGCTCTGACTGGTCAACAGTCGTTTGATTTTACAACTGAAGCGAGGACAGGAATAGATGCATGAAAATTTTATGATGAGTAGAGAATAAACAGTGAATCTGAGCCTGTTCAGGTCAGAACATCTGCTATTCAGCCCTGATTTCTGAGGATTTAAACCTTTTAGATGTCATGTGGTCTTAGATTTTTCACAGTGATGTCCTGACGGGGTTTTTACTGGAACTCATCCTGAGTTTGGTCATTTTATGTGCTGCTGAGACGAGAGTCATGAAAGTTTCCATATATATTCATAGTCTGGTGCGAGTATCAGTACAGATAAAACACAACAGATTTTCCCAACCATGCAAAAGCTGAAGGCCCAGATTCAAATGTATGCAGTTGATCAGATTAGATTATTGACTGAAGATAAATTAACGTGTAACTGGAGAATGTGACAGCAGTAGATGTGATACAGTGCACTGAGGGATGAGATTCAGTGAATATAGACAGCAAGAAACGCGCCTGTTGCTTAAGGTGTGTTGCACTCGCTGACTCTCTTTCTATCCTCCAGGGCAGCATCTGCGGGTTCACCATCGTCACCGGCGGCGCCGCTCGCCTCGTCTTCGGATATGACAGCTATGGCAACACTTGCGGCCAACGAAATGAACAGATTGAAGGCGTCAGGCTGAGTGGCCTCGACCACACGGACAGGAAGTAAGTACTGAGGTTTTTACTGTTCTTCGTACAGTTAAAGTGTTGAGTTTGTTACTGTTTGACAGGAATCTGTGCATTTTGAAGTTACTTCTGACTATTTGAGAAACAAAAATGTGATATTTGAGTAAATATATACTCCTCTTAACAAAGCAATGTTTAAAAACAGGTTATCAGAGGGGAGATTTTGTGTATGAATTTTTCTGTCGGAAAAACTCGCGACTACAGGAATTCTGTAGTTTGGCTTGTCTTGGTTTATAGGTTGTATTGAGGTGTTCATCTTTACAGTTTATAAAGCTCTTTCAGTGCGTAGCAGTTTCGATTATTGTGTTGATATTTTATTACACAGTGCTGTGTTTTGTGTCTAATAATTAGGATTTTATTGCATAAATATTTTTGGGTTTTTTTAAGTTATCAGGGTCTTTTTGCAGTTTTTGTTTCATTTATTTTGTGCTCCTGGTGGTGATATATGTAAATAATTTAATTTCACTGTAATTCTTTAGTATTTTTGTTTGTATTCTGGTTGTGTTGCACGTCTGTCCTGTACAGTCTGTCTTTGTTAATTTGCAGTATTACTGAAGTAGTACTTGGGTATTTTTAGAACATTGTGGCAGCTCATCCTGGCACTTTAATACTCGATGCGTTTGAGTTCCTGTGGGAGAGTTCACCATTGATTATGCTGACACTAGCTGAGAGCTGTGACTCATCTCACACACACACACACACACACGCAGAGCTCCACCTGCTGGAGGGCGAGCAGCTGTTGGAGTTTGGAGGCGATGTCAGACCTACTTTTACACACGGTACAGATCTTTGTTAGGCATCTGTCAGCTCTTTGATCTCTGAGACATTCTGACTGATGTGGGATCAGATGTAGTCTTTCAGCTGATATAAACCCACGGGAACACGAGGCTGAACAGAGAGCGAGGTGATTTCAGGTGAAGTGAGCGGGATCACAGGATCACAGATTCCTGCGCCTGTAGGAGAGGAACGGCGAGGGTTTGAGTCTCTGCAGACTCTTTGTGGCTCTTTGTTTCCATTCGTTGTTGAGTCACACGTTTCTCCCACATCTACATTCCTGCATTCTGCTCAGCTTTAATCCTCCTCTGCTCAGACTCAGCTTCTATTTTTACTCAAACACTTCTGTTCATGACTCAAGTCGGGATTATCAAACTGGGCAGACTGGGCAGCACTGCCAAAATTCAGCAGTCAGTTCAAGTCTACAGTACGTGAAACAGTCAGATAGTAGCAGAACTGATACACGATGGACTGAAGAGCAGGCAGCTGATGTAGTGCTTCTGCTGGGTTTTGTATAATAATGAGGTTGATTAATAATAAAATGGATCATGAGTATAAAATTATAACTTACACTCCGTTTATCCAGTTTTTAAAGTATATTTCCTTAATGTGATTGCATTCTATTGCAGTCTCGACACGCCTCTTTTAATAGAAATTAGATGTAAAATATTCCTGTTCTTAAACATTTCTGCAGTTGATATTTATTTGAATGTGATCCTTTAAAACTGATACTTTAAAACGCACTGAATAAGTAGGTCCATTCAACCCTACTGACGGCCTTACCTGCACTTAAAGACACTTATCAGAAGATTTTTTGCTTTATTTATAATATTTGGTACTCTTCTAAAATCTGGAAAATTGTGCTTTTCTTTTAAAAATGCATTGTGTTCTTTATCAGCAATTCCTGAAATTAAATTTTGATAAAGTTACTGGCTTCATGTCTTCATATTTATTAGAAGATGGAGATTTTTCTGGTTTTAGAAGCACCATTTGTTAAATGGTTTAAATGCCAATCCAATGCTGACCTATTTGGTGTCACTCTTTTTTAGATTTTAAGGTCTTTGGAGGCATTTACCTGCATTTTATAGATATATATAGATATATATATATATCTATATATATATAGATATATATATAGTCATTTTTTCTATTATAAATGTCGATGTGCTGACTTCCTGTACTTTCTGTCGCTTACAGGTTTGTTTTCTTCCTGGATCCCTGTAACATCGACATTGTTCAAAGGAAAATCAAGTCGATGGCTCTTTGTGTGTCTCTGTGTCCCACAGAGGAGCTGAAGACCTACCAGGACCTGAAGAGGTTCGCTATGGTCAATGGTGAGGGTATAAATGTCACACAACTCCTTGCACACTTGAATAGGTGTCTGGATATCCAGATATATTTTTACACGTCTGAGCTGAGGGACAAAGAGGCTTTGTTCTAGGCTTTAGAGGCAGGAGAGGGTGTTGATGGGAAATGTATTTGAATCTGTCTTTATTTGTTCAGCAAGGTCAAACATTTAAAGCAGGTAAAGTTTTTGAGGTATAAACAGATTATATGTCAAAGATGAAAACAGGTGAAGCTGGCTGGGGTGATGTGTTGGAGGTGAAAACTGAAAGGTGACGATTGTGCTGAGATCAAGCGTGCAGAATATAAAAAAATAAAAGCAGGTAACTTAATAAATATGAAGATAATGGAAGCAATAAAAATAGAAGGAATTAAAGTGTAAAGAAGCTTATGTGTTTGAGGTGATAGCAGGTGATGTTTTTTTAATAGGATTTATTGTCATTTTTCAATAAAAAAAAAACAAAAGCTGTTACAGAACATTTATGGCACATAGTAAATATCTGCAACTCGTTACAGTACGGTAAGTTATTGTGACTATAGGAACACACTTAAGTGTATATTCTTGTATCCATGCCATTCAAGGGTAATTTCAAACATCTGAAAACCCAACACATAAAGTAATAACAATATTCGTGATTACAAGAAACAATTAGGATAATACAGTATGTGGGAGAAAAAAGAACAAAACAAAAAGTAGAGAACACGTTATACAAACAACCCCCCCCATACCCTTGTATGGCTAGCAGATGATATGTTGAGGTTAAATAATATAATAAAGTTTGAAAGAAGTATGCAAAGTGTTAAACAGGACAGCCGATGAAGTATTGAAGCTTAAAGCAGGTGAACCATTAAAGATAGAAGTAGGTAAACAGCTGGAGGTGAAAGCAAGTGATGTCTTGAAGTTGTGACGACGCTTAGGCACTAGATGTCCCTGTTTTGGTTTTGGTTTTGTGGTCTTGTCTGATTTGGAGAGTAATTAGCTGTGAGAGCTGGGCCCAGTGAAACACTCCCTCCTGCCTGCACTTGCATTGCTCCTTGTACTGGATTGGATTTGAAACCAACCTTCTAAACTGGACCAGTTCAGCTGCATCATGTTTTCTTGTGTTATTTTTTGCTTTGCACACATTCTGCCGCATGCATGTGCAAGCTTTACACTTCTGACAAAGGCATTCTCTCTAATGATTTTTATTTTTTTAATAATCATTTTCCAGCATGCAAAGTGTTAAAGATGTAACGGGTGATCTGCTGAAGGTGAAAACATACAATGTGCTGAATCTGAAAGCAGGTGTTAAATATGAAGGGTGGGTGATGCGTTGGAGGCGAAAAGCAGGTGGAGTGCTGGAAGTGGCAGGGGATTGGAGGGTGCACTGTGTGACTCGATGTTCTCACAAAGACCGAAGTACGAACATGTTGCTGGTTTTAAAGGAAGCAGTGATGTCAGCACTTGGCCGACCGCGCGCCATCGCGTCACCGTGATGATTGAATGTCTGCAGACCGGACACACCAACAGTATACTGAACTTACAGTACAGTAACAAAGGCAGCATTAATGCGTGTCGTGTAATTGGTGCCACTCTGCTCTGCTTCTCCTCCATCATGGCTGCTCTGTGACTCAGAGCCTTCACTGTTCACTTGAGACACAAACGTGTTGAAACATGACGGCAGACCCTCGGTCAGGTGACCTCACAGCTCCTCCGGCAGTCGTTTATAAAGGATCCACTGTCACAGATTCACACAGAGGAACTAGTTTATCTGCTACACCTGAGCAGCCTGTCACAGAGGCCCAGCTCCAGCACGCTCACACTCAGTTTGTTCATACAAGCGGAAATATTCATATCTGTGTTTCAGATTAAACTTTCAAAATAAAAATCAAATCAAGTTCACAGTCAGGAATGATACAAACTGGGCATATTAGTCAAATGACTGGGCATATTGGGGACTAGTTTCTTTTGGAGCTGTTTGCACTGGATGGTGTTTTTTTCCCCTCTTCAGCCACGCGTTCCCATGGGTTTTTTAAAGGATTTGCACACAAGACATTTTAATGACTGCAGTCATCTGAGCTTTGCATGTTTCTTTTGTTCGAGTTCTTCCCTCATAAGAATGGTGCCTTTGGGTGGTGATTATGTATGGCAGCAAGCATGATCACTGTGAAGAGCAGAGGTAGTGATACCTTTTTGATACAAATATGTGCAATTTTCTGCAATATGTCTATGTTGCACCAATAAATAAAGCCCAAGTAACTAACTGGTTTAAAAATAGTATCATACCTCTAGAGTATATCAGTATAGTATATCCATGTACACTTCAGAGTCCATCAGTAACCAGCAGTGGCCTAGTGTCACTGGAAGCTAAACTGGTCCATGCATCAGACGTGAACTGAGGCACAAAGTGTACAGAAATGCAAGGAGCGATAGCAAGTATACCATAAACTTAGGGCAAGTGACAAAGCAAACTAGGAAGCTACTACTCAAATAATTCTTTGACACATTATGAACAGGAGTAATACTATGATGTACTAGTTCCCTGAACTGTACTATAATCACGTGAAGTATACTGTGAAGCAAAGAAACAACACTATAAAAGTCACACGATTACAAAAACACTGAAACGAGTGGTTAGTAAATCACTACGTGAACTGTGACATGGTCCGTGAGGGAGCCTTGGGGCTGTTGCGGACGAGGGCTGGGGACCCAACACTGGGTAACATCCAGTGCAGGACCCATGGGGTGTGGGACAGAGGGAAAGGGTGTGGCGTAATTCTCAGAGTCACTGAAACAAGGGAAACAAGTGTTAGAAGGGATGCCAGATGCGGATCCAAGGCGTAGGTTGCAAATTGCAAACAGTCTTACTTTTCACAGGCGGAGGCGAAGCATAGAGGGGTTGGTGCGGATGGGGTGTAGAGGTACTCCGATGAGTAAATCCGTTAATGTCAGAGCGCTGGACAGGAAGGCAGGCAGGTGAATGTAAGTGGAGAAGCTGTGTGCTGACCAGTGACTGAACCAAGACGGGTTATGGCAGTGAGTTTCAGCAACATCCAGAGGTTTTCTGTGAGCAGAAGGTACAAGGTCAATACAAGAATAACTATGGCAAGATACTGTCACTGTGGCGGCTTGACTAACGAGGCTTAGCAGACGATCTGGTGGAGAGTGAATATGAGCACTGATTTCAAGAAGCCAGCAGCCCAGATTACACTCAGGTGCAGCCTGTCAGCGGTGATGCGGCGGATACGCTCAGAGTTGGAAACGCCGGCACTGTGGAAAAACCCAGCGCTCACCCTGACCATCAGCTTGGATGTGAAAACCATGAAAGTCTGCATGTTAAGATCATACTGATTCTATAACTTGAGGACTAGAATACCAATATTTTGAATATCAAAAATCCCCAAATTTAGCAGAACAGCAGAACAGCTTATAGTTGAACAGTGGTGCCTTTTTGTACTTTTAGTGACTTGATCCCATAAGTACATCTACTAAAAATCTTGGATGAGTATCAATATTGGTGACCTTGACCTCAAGGTTAAGGTCAAAGGTCATGTTTACTAAAAATCTTGTGAATGCAATAGGTGTATTTACACAGGAAGAATATAATATAGGCTTCTCATTAGGGCTGCCACAAACGATTATTTTGATAGTCGACTAGTCACCGATTATTTATGCGATTAGTCGACTAATCAGATCATCATCCACTGGACGTAAAACTACAGCTTATTGCACCAGCAGCATCTGCTCTTATATAACTATCATTAGCTTACAGCTTTAAGCTTTTAAGGTGCTAACTGAAAATAAAGACAAGATGATAGTTTATTCAATTTTAATGAAATTTGCAGATTGTTTCGGTGAAGTTTAATAAACTCCTTGCTATCTAAAATATAACAGGACAACGGAGTATATTCTCCAGCATCTCACACTTTTGATAATCAGCTGTCTGCTTGACGTTTATTCAGCTGTGTAAAAACTATAACTTTAATCTCAGACAAACCGATTTACTCAGGAACAAATAAAATACTAAAAAAAAAAGCCAAACAACAACATTTTTAATTTATCTAAGTGACTCATATATATTTAACCTGACTAGCGAAAGACGGCGGTGGGTTAGAAAACAATTTGCCGGGAGTCCGTGTTCTCAGCGCTAGTGACCTAGCCCCCGGCTAGCTATCGAGCTAGTGGGTAACAGACGTCTCCGAAAACGTCGGAGCGCTTTTGAAAATATGTGGTGTCTTGATAAACTGAGCCGATATTTGAGGTTTACACAGCTACATTCTCGCCTGAAAATACGTTAAACGTTTATTTTGTGACCCAGAAAGAATAATAAGAGTAATATTAAAACTAACTAGCTGCCTCCATTGTTGGAAACTAAGCTGGGCCGCGCTATGATTTCTGGGACACAGCTGCTTCTTCTTCTTCTTCTTCTTCTTCGGGGTTTAACGGCAGCTGGAATCCTTGTATATGCAGTGCTGCCATCTTCTGTTTCAGTCCGTTATTACACTCTTAAATCCTGCTACTTATTCCTGCGTCTTTTGGGATCTTACAAAGCTTCAAACGACGCGTCGACTATTAAATCAGTCGTCGACGATTTTGATAGTCGACGTAATCGTGACTAGTCGACAAATCGTGGCAGCCCTACTTCTCATACTAATAACTTAACTGACAATCTCTGACACTTTGCAATTTGACAATCTTGATCCAATTCATGCATTTTTGTTTTGCAGGTTTCTCAAGGACGCAGAAAGCAATATGTAGTTAAAATGGTGTCAGTGTTTCAGTGTTTTGACACAATGACATTCAAAGCTTTTTCCCAGTTTACATTCAGTGAATTTTCATAATGATAATCACGCTTCTGGATGTTCAGGCCAGGGCACAATTTGATTGCAAAAATGTTAAAAGATGTTAATGTTGTTTCAACATTATACAATAAGCATAGAACAACTTTTAACCTTGTTAAAATGTAAAAGTGGGATTGTGCCACCTAAAGATTCAACTGCCAGGAGGCTGAGGTGCTGGCACCTGCCAGTATTTTATAAAGTTTATTTTACTGAGTGCTTTGAGTGCTCAGTGAGAGTAGAAAAGCGCTATATAAGAACCAGTCCATTTACCATTTATCTGAATTGTCCTGTGAAGGACTTTGTTCTGAAAAACAGTTTATAAATAAAGATTATTATTATGTTTTATTGTTTTTAAAATGGTTAAGCCAGTAAAAACTTATTTCAGGAACTGTTTGATTTACCGAAACAGATGTGCTTCCATTAGGTCATGCATATTGTCTGCAAACATCATCTGATGCTGTTGGCATAAACAAAATTATATTATCAACATATAGGGATAGTTGATGGTCATTGTGTCCTGTTGTTAACCCATAGATTTGTGGGTATGATTGTACAGTTACTGCAAAAGTGGAATTGCTAGTGTAAACAGCAGCGGTAGCGGAGGACCATCTCAGTGAGACTTTAAAGAACTAGGATCATTAAACCTTGTCAAAGACCTTCTCTGCATCTAAAGGGCCGTATTAGAAGTTATTTTATTATTATTTAAAATATGATGGTAGTTTTTTTTTTCTTTCAGGTTCTGAGCTGTGCTCCTATGAGTTAGCAGCTCATAGATATCCTGTTCTCGAACAGAGGACCACTAAATGCCCCAAACTACCTGTTCCACCCAGGTATGTAGCAGCTTTTCACCCCAAAGTCGCTTGCTTTTTTGCTTTTTCTGTGACCTCTGACCTCTGTCTTCCATTCTCAGTAAACCGCTGCCCGTGTTTAATCGCTGCACTCCGGTGGACATCTCCTGCTACGCAAGGTTTGCTGAGGCTGTGGTGACGTTTGTCGGGGATAACAGTGTTCTGCACCGACTGATCGCTGGCGTCGCTGCCAGTAAAGAGATCATCATCGGACTTTGTGTCCTCGCACTGTGTGAGAACAAGCATCAAACTCTAAGATGAAAATCTAATTCTCATATGGAAGTGCCAAAAACTGCAGTTCTTCTAATGGCCACTTGAGACTCTAACATCACTTTTTTTTGCCTGTCTTTTTCAGTCCTCTCCATGATCCTCATGGTGATCATTCGTTACATCTCTGCTGTCCTCGTCTGGATCCTCACCTCACTGGTTGTCCTTGGATCCCTTGGTGAGATCACTTCCTGTCTGTTTGTTGCATTAAAAGATGTAAACAGATGAAATGTGTCTGAAATCAGGGCTCTGCTTTTTGTGTCTAAGCGGGGACTAGTGTGCTCTGGTGGCTCTACATTGACTACCGGCTATACGGGAACGACACTTCCTCTAAAGTACTGAAGGAAGCGAAGGAGGAGGTGGAGGTCACCAGAGATAGCGGACAGGCACTACTTGTCTATGCCGTTGCTGCCACTGTATTCACTGTATGTACTCGACATCAAACAGAGCATAGAAAGTGTGATCGATTGGTGTTTTAAACCCGAGACTGACTGTGTGTTTTGTCTCCAGATCATCCTTCTGCTGCTGATGCTCTTCATGAGGAAACGAGTAGCTCTGACCATCGCTCTGTTCCACGTAGCAGGAAAAGTCTTCATACACCTCCCCCTCCTCACCCTGCAGCCCTTTGTCACCTTCTTTGCCCTCCTGCTCTTTTGGATCTACTGGATCCTGGTCCTTCTCTTCTTGGGAACCACCGGTCAGTTGCAGCAGTCAAAGAGAAAAGCTGACATCATAAACACGGAGCTGTCCCTCTGATGTGCTCATTTCTAATCCTATCTCTCCTGGTTACTCCCAGTGAACATCTTAACACCTTCAACTCTGCTACTGCTACCTTGGCCTCCTGTCTTCAGTTTAAACTACAATGCTGTTAGATATTCGTCTTTGTTTTGCTAATAAGTCAAACAGCTGGTACATATTTGGTTGAACCCCCCCCACCCCCCAATCACATACACATGTTCACATGTCCAGTTTCTCTCTGTTCTTGTTGTACCTTTTGGTTGTAGTGACTCATTCGTAAATCGTTTATCATATAAATTGTGCTTGAACCAATTTGGGCGAATCGTGGTACCCGAAACTGTCTCTGTGGATTTATGTTTCTGTTGAACGTTGAATGTAAAGTAGCAGATTTCATTTAGTTTTAGTCATCAAATTATTCTTTCTCTCTTTGCTCTGTGTGGTCGTGCAGGTAACCCCGTACAGAACGAGGAGACGGGGCTGACGGAGTTCAGACTGACCGGTCCTCTTCAGTACTTGACCTGGTACCATGCTGTGGGCCTGGTCTGGATCAGTGAGTTCATCCTGGCCTGTCAGCAGATGACTGTGGCCGGTGCTGTGGTCACGTACTATTTCACAAGGTGAGTCCATACTACACTTTACATACCTTTTTCATACTTGATATTTCACTGGAGAATTTGGTATATGATGGTATTTAAATAGAAAAGACAGCTTCTTTTCGCCTGAGACACTGACTGTAATCGATGTAGTAAAGCAACATGGTGGAAAGTGGATAAAATCAGCTTGGATACTTTTAAGAAAATGAACAGCTGGTCTGTAGGTATTTGGACAATGACAGCAGGATCATGTGTCTCTCTTTCTCCATACCTTTCTTTAGCAATCGTTCTGGTATAAATTTATCTGTGCAGGCTCATTAGCTGTTTTGTCATAAAGTCTAATCTAAGATAAGATGACCTTTATTAGTCCCACACGTGGGAAATTTGTTTTGTTACAAAGTGGACAGTGCAAAGTTACATAGCAAAAATTAGAAAAACACTGGAATAGAATAAGAATAAGATACTGTACACAACTGTACACAATAGAATAGCATAAAATAAAATACTATATATAATAGAATAAAATAGAATACAAATGCTATATACAACTGAGTATAATACAACGATGCCAGAAAAGAGTATTGCACTTAGTATTATTGCTTTTGCACATGTGTGGATGTGTGTGTTTGGTCAGTTGGAGTCTTTGTTGTACAGTCTGACAGCAGTGGGGAGGAAAGACCTGCCCACACCGTGGGTGCCGCAGCCACTGAAGGAGCTGCTCAGTGCTCTCAGAGTCTCCTGCATGTGATGGGAGATGTTGTCCAACAGGGATGACAGCTTAGCCACCATTCTCCTGTCACTCACCACCTCCACTTGTCAAGAGGGCATCCTAGAACAGAGCTGGCCCTCCTGTTCAGTCTCTTCCTGTCCCCAGCTGAGATGCTGCCACCCCTGCAGACCACACCATAAAAGATGGCTGAGGCCAACCCAGAGTCATAGAAGCGCTTCAGTAGTGGGCCCTTCACTCCAAACGACCTGAGTCTCCGCAGCAGCTACAGCCTGCTCTGCCCTTTTCTGTAGAGGGCGTCTGAGTTATGAGTCCAGTCCAGTTTATTGTTCAGATGAACACCAAGGTACCTGTAGCTGTCCAGAGTCTCAATGTCCATACCTTGTATGTTCAGTGGTTGCAGTGGAGGATGTTTGTGCCTGCAGACGTCTACCACCAGCTCCTTGGTTTTACTAGTGTTGATCTGGAGGTAGTTCTGCTGGCTAATCTGGTCCTCTTGTTGGTTGTAAGCAGTGGGTTGCAGCTTGGTTACAAGAAGCTACAAAAAGATAATATTTTTGAAGGTTTCTCTTGATTGTAGACATTGGCCGTGATACTTCTAGAGAGTGCGCTTCAGTCATATCGTAATTGTTTGAAGTAAAGTACACTGTGGAGGTGTACAGAGTCAAAATTACAAAAAAATTATTATGCTTGTTTTATCTCAAGGTATTAAAATCATACTGTCTGTATTTCTAGTCACTCTGGTATACAATGACAGCATAATACTGCATCTTTTTAGCCTGCCTTTTTAAACTCTGGATTTCCGAGTGGATTCTCCACATGTGTACCCCCTCGTTTCAGGAAACATAAAGGTTCTTCTAAATGTCTCATGGCAGGAAAGACTCTTAACCAGGACTTTGTGTTTCAGGGACAAGAACCGACTCCCAGTGACTCCAATCCTGTCCTCAGTCCTGAGGCTGGTCCGGTACCACCTGGGCACAGTTGCGAAAGGATCCTTCATCATCACACTGGTCAAGATCCCACGACTCATCCTCATGTACATCCATAATCAGCTCAAAGGAAAGGTACAAAAAGTTTATTTACTAGACTGTTAAGATAAGATAAACCTTTATTAGTCCCACATCTAGGAAATTTTTTGTGTCACAGCAGAAAGTGGACAGTGCAAAGTTACAGCAGCAAAAATTAAGAAAAACAATGGAATAGAATAAGATAAAAGAATAACATACTATATAAAAATAGAATAAAATGCTATAACTAGCGCAAAGCAGTAGTGCATGATGGCAGAATATAATTGCTAAGACTTAAGTTAGAAAGTTACAAGAAGAGAGGAAAGAGGAAATAAGAAAAAAGCTCAGAAATGAGCAGAGCTGCCGTAACAGGCTGCCACACGCCAGAAATCCAACGCTGAAAAAATTAGTTTTCACTTTTACTAAACATGAAGTAATAAAGCAATAAGATGCAAACAAAATACCTAAAATCAAAGTTTTATTTATTCAAATAAATAATTTTTAAAGAGGACAGTGCTTAGTGTAAACTGAATATATACCAACCAAGTAAATGTTATTTCACCAGATCCCATTAAATTGATTTTATGTAACAATTAGTTAAAGAAAGCATTTAGGCAGATTTTCTCTTTTTCTGTATGCCCTCTTGAAACTCCTGATGAATCCTGAGATGTGCATAGGTTTATGGATTTTATTTCTCAGTAGGGAACCTTACCATGACACTGTCACTTACAAGAACAATGTGAACCTGTCAGTGGCGAACACACTGTTGCTAAGATTACACGGAAGTGATTCATTGAACAGTTTCACCAATTATGATCAATCTGGAAAAAAAACATCAGAAGAATGACTTGATGTCCTTTAAAGGTTTGGTAACAATACGAAGGGCATCTGTCTGTATGCTGATGATGTTTTGGTGTTCAAACAGAAGTCTCCTCGTCACTACAACAACATTTCTGTTGCATTAACAACTCGTTCATCCTTTTTAAAAATGATTACATGTACAGTGTGTTGTATGTGACATGTAAACATAAATACATTTTATGTATAACCTGATATTATCTGTTGTTTATCAGGAGAATGCGTGCGCTCGCTGTATGCTGAAAACTTGTATCTGTTGTCTGTGGTGTTTGGAGAAGTGCCTCAACTATCTCAATCAGGTAATACTCCACCCTCTTCTCTTCTCTTCTCTTCTCTTCATTGATATGATCATCTCACCATGTCTGGTTTTATTTCCCAGAATGCATATGCAGCCACAGCCATCAACAGCACCAGTTTCTGCACGTCTGCACGTGATGCCTTCGTGATCCTGGTAGAAAACGCGCTGCGAGTCGCCACAATAAACGCCATTGGAGACTTTGTGCTCTTCCTGGGGAAGGTGAGGCGGGAGCTTGATTTTTCATTTTTCCTGCCAGTTTGTGCTGCTTTGGAGGAAGGATCTTCACTTTGAGTGTGATCACCTAACTGGATGTTGCTGTAAGAGAGCTTCAAGTGCTCAGCTACAGCAGAAAAGCACTATATAAGAACCAGTCCATTTTCCATTTACAGTTCTGTGGGATTAAGTTCAGAATTTCCAAAACATTGACTTTAAACACTTTTACTGGTCCCGTGAAATGAGATTTGATGCCATGCCTAAATTTTTTTTCTATACTATACGTATACGCCAGTATAGGTGGGGAAAGGAGCTATTAGCTAGCCAGATCCAGAAACAGTGCTATTATGTTCGTCTTCCTTCCTTTTCTTTGCATTTGTTTTTTAGCTGTAAAATCTAGTGGCAGGGAGGGCTTTCATCTTGGCTTTTGTCCACCATTCTCCTGTCACTCACAGACAGATAAATTTTTAGCTTACAAACACCCCAGCAGAGCTGGAGCTGATGTTGACTTGTAGGTTACCTGTCTAAGGTGTTCTCGGGAGCTCTGTTGCTTTTTGTCTTTAGTAGAAAAAAAGTAGCTAGTGAACTTTGAAGCATCACGGCATATGGACAGTGGATTTCAGTTTTTCTTTTCCCACCTGTCATCAGTTTATTTGAATATATCTCCTCAGATCCTGATTGTGACGACGACGGCGTTCGCTGGAGTCCTCCTCCTGAACTACCAGCGGGATTACGCAGAGTGGCTGCTGCCGCTCATCATCGTGTGTCTTTTCTCCTTCCTGGTGGCCCACTGCTTCCTGTCCATCTTTGAGATTGTGGTGGACGTCCTCTTCCTCTGCTTCGCCATTGATACAAAGTACAACGACGGCACTCCAGGGAAGGAGTTCTTCATGGACAAAGCTCTGATGGTGAGATCTTTCGTCTGTCTCCCTCAGAGCTCGGTGAATTTAATAAAAGGACTGATATGGTAACATTCAACTCTGAAAATATGCTAGTGTAATGATGACCTGCAGCAATGTTCCCTCTATGCTGCGCGCATGCGCAATTGCGCACTGCTGGCACGGTCTCTGCGCACAGAAAATCTGCATTGCGTTAAAACTTTAACAATTCTGTTTTGTAGTGTTAGTCAGTAAGTGACTGGCTGCTGGGATTAGAACGATGCCACCTTATCCCATAGTCCAGCCAATAATGCGATTCACATTCGTATATACGCAGCTAATCAACGTCGTTGACAGGCTATGACAGCGTCCTTATGTGCCGACACCGGTGTTTTAGCTAGCAAAGCAGCGTGGCTGATGTGGAGTGAAGCCATGTTAATGACAACGTGGAGATGTGAGCAGGACAGACGGAACAATTGACGGGAAAAGTGTGGACTTTATACCAGTTTTTAAATTGTGTTGATAGACCACGTAAAACCAGAGTTATGATAAAAATATATGCAATGTTTGGTTTTCTTCCTTAATACTATCGTTGTTTATATTTCCTGCGGGAAGAAACGGCGTTTTATAAGGAAAACGCTCGAAAGCCTGTGAGCAAAAACAAAAACAAAAACATGGAGGAAGTGGAAAGAAAGGCTCTTGGCTCTTTCAAAGGAAGAGTACCCAGCCACTGGTACAGATATGTAGACGACACCTGGGTCAAAATCAAGACACAAGAAGTGGAATCCTTCACTGCGCACATTAACGCCGTGGATAAAAACATCAAGTTCACCAGGGAAGACACAAAGGACAACTGTTTGCCTTTCCTGGACTGCGCTGTGCACATTGAAGAGAACGGCAACCTCAACATCGAAGTTTACCGGAAGCCCACACACACGGACCAGTACCTCCTGTTCGACTCCCATCACCCTCTGGAACACAAACTTGGGGTAATCAGGACCCTACACCACCGGGCAGAACATGTTCCCTCTAAGCCTGAAGGGAAAAAGAAGGAACACACACATGTAAAGGAAGCACTTAAAACATACGGTTATCCTAATTGGGCATTTATCAAGTCAGCAAAGATGCACAGAAAAGAAGATCAGACACCAGCGAAGGAGGATAAGAAAGACAGACGCAGCAACATTGTCATCCCCTATGTAGCCGGTGTATCAGAGAAACTCAGGAGGGTTTTCTCCAAGCATGACATCCCAGTGTATTTCAGACCCAGCAACACGCTCAGACAGAAACTGGTTCACCCGAAAGACAAAACTCCAAAACACAAACTTAACAATGTGGTGTATGCTGTACAGTGCAGCGAGGAATGCCCAGACCTCTATGTCAGAGAGACCAAGCAGCCACTTCACAAGCGCATGGCACAACACAGAAGAGCCACCTCCACAGGACAAGACTCAGCAGTCCATCTGCATCTTAAGGATAAAGGTCACTCTTTCGAGGATGCCAACGTTCACATTTTGGACAGAGAGGACAGATGGTTTGAAAGAGGAGTGAAAGAAGCCATCTATGTCCACTGTGAGCGACCATCTTTGAACAGAGGCGGTGGTTTACGACACCAACTGTCTGCCATGTGTAATCCAGTTTTGAGATCCCTCCCCAGGCGCCTTAATGCCCACTCACATACTGGGCCATCTGACCTTAGGAAATCACATGATAGGCTGGGGCCAGGTTTCACAATGAGCTCACCCTAAACCCTGGCTGATTGTGACCCACACCCACTTTCACACCTTGGCTCATGTGATTAGGGTCATCAGGGGGTCCTTTGTCCCTCTTTGGGGGGAAACTCCCAATGGGTTTAAATCTGGGACTCTCCACCATTTGACCTTAGAACTGAAGAAGCTTCTCGGATGAGAGGTGAAACGTCTTGAAGCAACTCAAAGAAGTCCAGACGCTTTTCTTTCCAAGCTCCTTAGACTACTTTCAATAGTGTTAACATACTACACAGGTCATGAACAAGAATTTTTAAAAATTTTCATTGTAAGTGGGCTAAAGCAGTTAATTAAAAGTAGCCTAACATAAATGTAAATGCTGTAATTTGATTATTTTAATAAACCATGTAACTTGGATGGATTTGATGCTGGCATGACCACAGTGCACACATCTAATGTTGCTCCCAGTGGTCCAAGGGACCGCTCAGGGAGTTTGTGTGTTCGCTCAGACACACGAAAAATTAGAGGGAACATTGACCTGCAGGTGTCAGTTCAAGAAGGGGAAGTTGTTTGTCGTAGAATCTCCAGTTTGCAATTCATCATGGGATGTGTAGTTCCTTTATTGTTAAACATAATTATGTTCAAAATAAAGTTCTGATCATGATTGCTAATAAAAGGACTTTCTTGAATATCAATGGGGTGCAGTGTTTTAATGTGTTTGGTCTTTGTCCACCTTTCTGTGTTCCTGCAGGAGTTTGTGGAGAGCAGCCGGCGGTTGGAGCGTGCTGTGGAACGTGGGCGGAGTCGGGTGAAGGAAGTGGCATCAGAAGGGGCGGAGATCAAGCCCATGGTGAGTGACAATGACACCAGAGGGGGCGTGGTCAGGCAGAAGAACTCGTTGGAGGCGGCATCGGTGGGTCCAGACTGGGGTTGTGACGGGGAGTGGGAGGAACATCAGGAATTCCAGGTGTACTACCTGTTGGTGGGGGTGCTGGTGGACTGGATGCTGATGGAGCAGACTGACTTTGTCCTCTGTCTCAGCGAGGACGTCGTCCTCTTCCTGTGTGTCTACCTGCCCACCTCCACTCTCTTCCTGTTCGTCAGCCTGCTGAACACACCAAACCCCGCCCCTCTGCCCATTCACATGTTAAATCAGCCGCCGTAAACACTGTGTGCTAACCTATACATGCTAACTGATGCATGTGGTGACTCAAGCATGCTGACTGGATGGCCCACTGACGCATGCAAGCCAAACCCATTTACATCGCCGCCATCATCACCATCATCATCATGCTGGCTGCTTCCTCAGAGACTAAACTCCTACTGACTTTTTGTTTGTAATCTATTTATTTTTTACTTTTGTAATTTTTATATTTGAAATTTTTTTTTTTTTATAAATGTGTTGATGTTTTGTTGCTGTTTGAGTGAACTTCTGTTCAGCCTTATTTTCTCACTGTGGTGCTTTAAACAAGAAGAAGGACTCAGCAGATGGTAAGCTGCAGCTTCAGGTTCATGGTTCAGTCTCAGGCTCTCTTTATGCTTCTGTGATTCTGGTCCTGTCATCACATTTTTAGATATACTACCTTATGATTGGAGAAAAATTATGTAAACTGAGATGCAAACTCTGCTCTTCCCTGCTGATCAGAATGATCAAATAACCAATAAAATTGGAACAGACGTAAGACAGGTTAGTTAATTTTTAAAATATGAATCAAAAATGTTTACAGAGTTCAGTTTATGGACCATAGATTTAAAAACAATCTATTTTTCAGGAGCTGATTGAGGTTTTTTGAAAGATGCTTTCTTCTGGGTCCTAGCTTCCTATTTGGTTTCAAAGAATGATATGTCATCACTTGAACTCATGTCCCTCATAGTTCGAGCAGCTTAGGAAGAGCTAGGTCTGACTCAGAAATGAATTCTAAAGGGTTCATTATTTTCCCCACCAGATGTTTGCTCCTGGTAGAGTGAGACGAATTAAAAACCAGAAACCAGGTGGTTGTCACATCCTGTATGTTTGTCCTTCAGCGACCCCCAACAATCAACCAAAGAAAAACTGCAGAGAAACAAAAAACAACCAAATCTAGAAGCGCAGCAACAACAGAGAGATGCAAAGGACCACTCCAGCTCTTGTAGGTTTGTGCAGATTGTGTTTCAGTTTGTGAAAAATCCCCAGTATTTTGTCACAGTAGTAACAGCACTGGAAAAATAGCTGTGGTGGATACACTTTACCCTGAATCGCTTCTAAAAGTTTTGCAGAGTAGTTTAAGGATAGCTTTTCCACTCTGGAGCCAAACAGCTAAAATGGCTATTTTAACTGTTATAACACCAGTTCATTGTAATACCGTAACGTCAAAAGCCTACAACTTTAAGAAAGAGGTCCAACAATCAGACAAAACTTTTATGAACAGCACTTGGAGATGATGGAGAGGAAGAACTCCCTTTTAACAGGAAGAGACTGCCAACAGAACCAGGCTCAGGGAAGGATGGACTGTCTCGATCAGTTGGAGGTTATTTGGCAGCTTCTAGGCTAATCTTTTACAAATATAACACCAAGGTCCTTCAGTTAGTCTTACAGTGAAGCCAATTTTGCCTAAAAACTATCATTGTTTTGCTAATGGTTGCTCAGTTTAGGATTTATGCCAGGAGGTCGTCCTTTGGTGGCAATAGCTACATAGATCTTACAAGTGTTTGTAGACAAAGTGGTGGTTAAAGGTGATGCTATCTGGAAACTACTGCTTGTATGAAGCCAGATATCAGAATGTAAGATATAGTAAATGGTGCTGTAGTACTCGAGGAAAGGGGTTTTACCACAACATTTACCCCTTTTAGCTCTAAGTCCATAGGGCCCCATTTATTCTAAGCATCCCCATGAGCGTCCCCATGAAACAGGATCCCCAGAGATTGGAACTCTCATGGAAATAAGGGACCAACTGAAGAATTGTTACACCCCTAATAATGATGGTGATAATAATGATAATAATATTAAAAACTTTTAAGTGAGTAACTTAGTGAGAAAAACTAGGAAATAAGCAAACCCTGCTCCAGCTATGTGGACCTGACTCACCTTCATCTCCCATTATGCTCTGCTCTCTCGTCCATACCCTGTGTGACTGCCTGTAATGTGTAATGACTTGTGTTAACCATATGACCGTTTTGCTGTTTCAGGCTCCGGGGACGAGTTCAGCTTGACCAAAATCAGCCAATGGGACTTGTTAAAAAGAGACATTCCAAATGTTTATTTTTACCAACGTGTAACATGTTTACTATGGTTTCACTCCAGGGAAAACAATATTTTAATAAGAAACTGTAAAAAAGTAACAATGTAATGAAGCACTTTATATTGAAGCGCTGCAGATTTTAAACCGGCTGATGCATTTTTTTCGTAGTGATGTCCTTTTTTATAAAACTCACCCCAACTCATCGCTCACTCTTCAGTTCCTAACAGTTTTCAGCCACTTTTCCGTTTTTTGTCTTAACTTTTGTTTTGGAGACGACCCGCGCATCGCGGAAAACAGCTCGTCAACCAAGTCATCAAAGGGACGGGGCCTGTGGACAGGCGGAACAGCAGCCATAAAACTCCATTTATTTGGTGGACGAGATCTGTCCAGGTCATACCGAGGCTGTCAGACTCTATGTGGGATGGATCACCACGAGTGTGCGTTTTTTGTTTTTTCTACCGTAGTTACTGCTACAACCTGCAAGGTGTGGGTCATGAGACCAGTTATGTGACTCCTTAATGCAGCACCTTCAGTTTGCTGAAGCCTGAAGTTCTCCTGCAGCTAGGAAGGACAACAGAGCTTGTGGAGAAGACGGGGTTAGTGGCTCTTTTTTAAATCCACCAGACTTGTTTGACAAAAACAGGGATTTTTTTAACACTGAAAATGAGTGTTATTGACCTATTTGTGTGACTTTTGCTTTTTAATGCATTAGTTTAGGTCCGAATTAATGCATTATAACACCAAAGTAGCACAATATTACAAACTATTCAATTGTGGCAACAGTAGATGAGTAACTCCTGTGTTCTTTGAGGTAAAATTACTGTTTTGATGAATGGGGTCTGGTGGAGTGTAACAGCTTCAGTTACTTGTTTAAGAAAAGCTGTTTAATATGGGTAAAGTGGAGAAAATCTTGTGTACATAGCAGCTCATGGTTCTTGTTTGTGCATCTGCTTGTGGGCGTGGCCTTCTGCCACCCACTGCAGATAACATATTGACTGTGAACAGTGGAAAATAATTTTAAAAGGTTTCCTGACTGATAAATCAATACATTTGAAATCACGCTCTTTTTAAAAAATATCAATCAGTCATTTCAAACACCAAGATATGTATTGTGCATTGCCTAAACATATCAGGACAGAATCTTTGATGCATATCAGACCTATAAATAGCCTATAGAAAACTGTCTCCATCAGTCACATGACTCTCACCTCGTAGGCTGTAACAATCAGCCGAGTCCCCTTGTGGTCGGGGCTCAAAATGGTTTACTGGCGTCAGAGACGGATGCTCCAACAAACAATCACCCGGATCCCACTTCCTGTCCAGAGCCGAAACCGCCGTCTCTGAAACGGCCACAAATCAAATTGTTGTTTCCATTGAGAAGACGGTGGGAGATGTGACGGCTGAGTTCAGTCAGCAATAAAAAAAACTGCATCATGTGACCACATCAACAACGACAACAAGTCTTCCTGCTTCCTTTTGTTCAACATGTTCCAGGTTCAATGATTAATTTCGCCTCAGGCAGGAAGTCCGACCAATGGCTCGACTGTCAGAGGTTTAATCTCCTTTTATTGTTCAACAAGGCAACTCATTGGGCAACCTGAGAAAGAAAGGTTGCCCAAAATGTGAGTTTGAGTTATCAGAATGTCTTGAGTCAAGTGCTGAAGAAAGTGAAACTTTTGATTTGAGAGCAACGGTGCTGCCGAGGAAACTGCTCTCCTGGTTGGCCAACATGTTGCCTTGTTGCACTGCAGGTTAAGCTGTGTGTGAGGCTGAATCCAAGCGTCCTTCCTTCAGACTGAAATACAGACTTAACCCAGATAGCAAACATGTCTGGCCTTATCTGGGCACTTTGGGGACCTACAGTTCAGTTATGTTGTGTAGACTGAACACTCCTATATCATCCCAAATCCTAAATCATTATGATGATCTGCACATGAGTACCTCCCATTGGAAACCAGGTTCAAAATGGAGGGAAATTAATAAAGGTTTAGAACCTAATTAGTGCTGCAAATAAAATCCTAAAATTTCCCTCACCAAAACTGAAGCTCAGAACATTTGGACAGTCAGTTAGTACAGAAACCTCACAGCAGCCATATTATTGGTCAGATAATTGCAAAAAAATGCTTCAACAAACATGGTGCAGAGGTCCAGTTCTAACTCCAGTTACTTGAGGTGAAGCCTAGCAGACAGCTAGCCGCTACAGTCAGCTGTATCACTATCCAGCTGTCAGTCAAATAGACCACACCCCTAATTATGCAAACTTCAAGCCTTAATATAATTTAAAGAGGTGAGTTATAAAAACATTCTTGACCTGTAGACGTGTTATGAAGGTGTAAATTATCTATAGAGACAAAAAACGTTTTTATATAAACTGTAAACATGTTTATTTCTGCTGTAAAGTTTTAACATGGGGGTTTATGGGGACTGACTCACTGCTGGAGCCTCCGGTGGATGTTAGAGGAACTGCAGCTTGTGGGCACTTTACCATTTGCATCAGTGGAAACAGCAACTTTCATTCACATTATTCAAGAAATGTTGCCTTTACAAGCTGTTTACAGTAAACTGAAGCTGAAGGTGTTTCCATGGAGACATCCTAAGGATGAAGTCTGGAGTTTGGACGTTCTCTGGGTTCAGTCAGTTTAAAGTTTGTTGTGTTCAAACATCGACCTGCTGACATGTTTCTGGTCTGAGTCTGTGACGATGAACATCTGTGTGCAGTTTAACACTTTTTGTTCCTGAGATGTTAATGGGCGCAGCTGATTGGCTCCGACCGGCGGTGTTTAGGCTGCGACTGTTCCCATCATGCACCTTGTCTCTGCCAAACACCTTCACTTTGACAGATAAACCGCTCAGAGAGGCCAAACTGAGGAGCGTCTCCTCCAAACAAAAACAAAACAACCCGACAGATTCACAAGCTGTTGTGGAAAATCTCTCCGTGTGCAGAAAACTGGACCTCAGTCTGACATTCAGCTTTCAATTATTAAGCGCATGTGTGTGAAAAAGCAGCGAGGCCGTGGTCGCCGCACTCGATGCTCTGAGCATGTTAACTAATTGCACTAAAGATGGAGTTCATTCATCACTGACGTCCGTTTGAATTAGCTGTAAAGTATTTTAGATGAACAGTGTTCGTAGCTCAGATATTACCACACACACTTACACTCTCTCACACACACATTTATTCATGTTTAAACGTCCCAAAAAGAAAAAACTAAGAGCAATCAAAGGAAATATTTAACTCCTGCTATTCAGATACACTTAGATTAGTTTGGACCATGTGACTGCTGTCGCCGGGCAGATTAATTTGACTGCAGATTAACCTGGAACTGAGAAGTTTCATTCCAACATCAGAAAAGTCTGATCATTTCAAGTATTCAGTTAGAATTTGTACAGACACTTATATACAGGACTCAAATCAATCAGTGTGATTGGAATAATGACAAAAACGAGATTGAAAACAAACGTGGTGATATAAAAACAGTAAAATCCTCATCAGGCTTTAAGTGGTGTGTCTCCTAAAACACAAACAGACTTCACTTTGGGGTATTTTTGTCCAGACATCTCTACAGAATTGTTTTAATTAAGAAACTTTAGAGGGTTTTCTGGCGTGACTGGCCTGTTTAAGGACTTTATGTGAAAATCATAAACTAACAAAGCAAATTTGTTATTTATTTAACTCTATTTCTTCTTGGAATGAAACATTTCAGCTCCACTTCCTTGTCTGCTGATTAATTGTACGTTTCATTTACCATTATCCATCCAGTCGGCACGCAGAGGTCAAGCTGCTGCTGAAGGTATAGGGTCAGCAGGTGAGCTGTGGGTTAGTGACACTCCAATCAGAATCTTTGTATCGACTGACTTATGCAGCGTTGTCATAATCAGACTGCTTTTTTTTTTTCAGTGGATCTTATTGTATTTTTTTATTTAAACACAGGGTGCATCTAACTTTAAGGTCAAATCTGTCAAATTTGCATAAAGAAAACAGCTTTTAAAAAAAAGAAGCATCAGTTTGAAATCACACAGGTAAAAACACAAAACACAAATTTAAGGCTGATTTAAGTCAAATTCTGTCTCGTCTCAGAAGGTAAAGAATGTTTCCAAAACCTGAACTGAGCCCCAGATCTGTCACAAACGTGACCTGGTGTTTGTGATGTTTCAGCTGCTTGTAGCTCAGTGAGATTTAGGTTACAGCCTATGTGAAAACATTTCACCTCTTCTTTAAAATAAAGTATAAAAACTTCATCGTTACTGGAGGGTTATCAGGTTGCATCTCGTCTTTCTACTTTAAGAAGTTTAGAATGGGTTAGCTTTGAGTCTCGACAAATTTGACCAAACTCACAAAAACTATCCAAATACAAAGTAAATTTCATGTATGTTTTTTTTTTTTTTTTACTTCACAACATTGTTTCAGTTCATCACCATTATTTTTTCCCAAAGATTTGCTTTATGTATTTCAGTTAACTAAAGTGTTTTTTCAGGCTTTAGTAATTATAATAAGTGGTCTGAACAGGAGGTGGGTGGGGCTACTGTGCCCTACGTCATACAGCTTCAAAAGAGGAAAACAACTCTTTGAATCTAAGCCTTTAGAGTGGCAACCTGAGCTTTTGGCTCACAGGGATTACTTGAGAAATTCTTTATTTGAAACCTGTTCAGTATGACAGGAAATAACTAAAAGCAGAAGAGCAGATGTATTCAGGATGACTTCCTCTTGTTTGATAAGATAAGATAAGATAGAACTTTATTAATCCCTCGGGTGGGTTCCTCTGGGAAATTCGATTTAATCCCTCCTTTGAGCTGGTTCTTTGAGTTTGTGTGACCAAGGTTTTAGGTGGTCAGTAGTATTTCACAGAACCTGAAGAGGACGGTTAACCTGCCCCCGTTTCTGCATGCCGCTCTTCAGGTGTGATATCATATCTTTGGTATTTGGAGATCTCGGCAGTCACAGCTAAAATGGTCTTATTTATTCTCCTGTGAAGTTTATAGGTCCATTTGTCAGAGCCTTGAAGTTGTTTCTTGCTTTTTACCCCTCAGCCATAAAAGGTTCACCTTTTAGTGACCTGAACTTCAATGTGAAGGTCAGAGGTCAAGTTTTCTGAAAATGTTGTCGTAGGTGCATCTGCTAGGAGGCTGGGGGTAGCACTTAAAACTTAACAACATTTTAATAACATGTTTGCATATTCTCTCCCGATTATTAACATCTCAACCCAGACTACTCTGATATTTTCTTGATATAATGTCCTAAAATGTCCATTTGTATTTTTTATCGATTTTTATTACCCATAACGGTAAAAAGAATCCCAAATCTAGCTCTTTAAAGTTTAAAGACTTGCAACTTGAGCCAACCTTTAAGTCTGTGCACAGCTCTTTGAGTAATCCTGTTAACAGACCAACCAAACCAGTTACAGGTTATTTATTTTTATTCAGATGTGATTTTCTGAGCCTTGGCAGTGATCTTTCTTTAACATTGGAGTGTCTCTAACTCGTCCTCTACATGCCACCCTTCTCACTTCGGTTGTAGGTTTTAAATAAGGCAATCTGAGACTGTTTGCCTGCTTCCTCGGGCCCGGATCGGAGCAGATGAAGGGCCGGTGTTGTAGTAAAGTTGCATGTCCATGTGTCCCAGCTCCGTATTGCAGCGCGTCGTCTTCGTACGGTGTGAATAATCTGCTGTTAGATCCACAGCACTAAAAACTCTGACGTCTTTGTTTCCTTCGGATGTGACTCTTTGTCTTCATGAGGGACGGCTTCATAGCAACAAGAAAAAGTTAAGACTTTAGGCAACACAAGTTTAACTGTCAGGTGTAACACTAGTGTTTGTTTTCTCTGCAGTACGAAGTGGTTTGTAACATTGAAGAACTTTTTCTTTGGCTCTGGGTTGTTTTTTTATATTTATCATTTCTTATGTATATTTGTTTTTTAAGAAAAATAATAAAAAGGAAAATTTGAATCTGTGCTTGGTATCTTTCTTGACTTTCAAGATCTGTGTGTTATCATATCAGAAGGGAATATGATTGACAGATTAATCGTTTGGCCTCCGAAATGCCCGAAAATATCCAACAAATGGTCCCACGTGGAAATGTATGTACACAACCTGACAGGACACATTGGTGGTTATTTTTCTGTTGATCTGAACAATAATCTGTCTTCTTACCCTTTTGTGACACTTAAAATTTTTTTTAGCCAAAATCCACATACTGACTGGCCGATTTATTAGGTACAACTGTTCAGCTGTTAACCCGTTTCAAATGAGTGCAACTCTAGACATGAGCAAGACGACCTGCCGAAGGTCAAAGTGTGGATCTGGATGTGGAAGAAAGATGATTTAATGGACTCGTGATGTGGTTGTCCATGCTAGACAGGCCGGATGGGTGGTGTTGATGTCAAATGACCTGACTGCCTCAAGCCAATACAATACCCCTACTTGTTAGGAGCTTTGGGCCCCTTGTTTATATAAGAATAAGTTATCATTTTAAGAAACACCAAGTTGATGTTCATAGAAGTACATACATACACACACACACACACACACACACTATTGCTTACCTACACACATCAGATATTGATAACCTTTAACTGACCCCTGATCTCCTAACTGTTCCTTAGGCCTGACTCCGGGATCCTCTCGTACTCGCTGTCACTTTCATCCAGTTCGCTGTCCTATATTGAAACAATGTTAGGGTCTGATCTTGGATCAATGTTAAATTCTGATTTTGATTTTCCACCACGTTTGCACCCTTGGATAATATTGAAACAACAATAAAATCATCATTAAAAACCAACAGGACTTCACAGGTATTTCAATCAATAATAAACCACTGCAAATTACCATCAATACCTGTGAAAAAGACAACTGTGTATGATATAAAAATAGGATAACCATTATGTGTTAAGCATTATGTTACAATTTAACATAATGTAAAATTGTAACATTGTACACATAATGTTACAATTTAACATAATATAACACTGTAAACAATGTTACAATTTTACATTATGGTAGAATTTAACATAATGTAAAATGGTAACATTGTAAACAGAATGTTACCATTTAACATAATGTAAAATGGTAACATTGTAAACAGAATGTTACCATTTAACATAATGTAAAATGGTAACATTGTAAGCAGAATGTTACCATTTAACATAATGTGAAATGGTAACATTGTAAACAGAATGTTACCATTGTACATTATGTTAATTATAACTAACGGATTTACTTTACCAAATGGACCATCCCGGCCTTGCCGTATTGGTCTATTTGATTCACCTTTGTTTTTATTGTTTATTTTATTTTCACTTGCTACACATAGGACAGACATGACTGGGGGAAAGAAAGGGGAGAAAGAAAGAGGGAAAGAAAAACAGCAGGGAAGAGGAATGGTGATAAAGGGCAAAAAACAAAAACCAACAAAACAAACAGACAAAAAATATATATATCAGTCACTTCAACTCAAAGAAGTCCAGACGCTTTTCTTTCCAAGCTCCTTTGACTGACTGTTAGGACAACTTATTTATTGCAAGCATGCAGTACAAGAATAACTCGATGTTTCTGACTTTGCATTACGAATTGTTTACCCACTGACAAACATTTCAAATGAAATTAAATTAAAAAACAATTTGTGGTAACCTGATTTTAATTCAAAAAGAATCATTAACAACACTTCTTGTAATGGTGTCAAAATCAGCCCAACTTTTATTTTCAAATGCAAAAAGTAAAAGAAAATGAGCCAACATACTGGACACATATAATTGTCAATATAATTGTTTATAAACAATTATACTGTCATCATTGTTACAGATATGGAAACTTTATTAACAATTTGTCCAAGTAAAAAAATGCCCTGCTAATTGTTGGGGTTTTCTCTCCTCTAGCCCTTTCCTTTAAGCTCTTCTTTACATCCCCCCACCCCCACCTTTTCTTTTTTCTTAATAATATAACAATAAAAACAATTGGCTGCATTTTAAATGTGTCAGATCAATGTCTTTATTCAAGAATACAAGAAATGGTAATAGCTGCATGTGTGTTTGTGTGTGTGCATAATATGCATACTTTACTTGTTGGATCCAAATCCCACAAGGAATCAAATAAAGCCTCCATCCTGTAGGCAGACTTATCCCCGTCTGAGAGGAGTCCAATAATGGTGGTGTCATCTGCAAGCTTAATTAATTTGACAGACTGGTGGTTGGAGGTGCGGCAGTTGGTGTACAGGGAGAAGGGCATAGAAGAAAGAACACAGCCCTGAGGGGAGCTCGTGCTGATGGTCCGGGAGTCCAAGACATTCTTCCCCAGCCTCACTGGTTGCTTCCTGTCCGTCAGGAAGTCAGTGATCCACCGGCAGATGGGATCAGGCACATTCATCTGGGAAAGCAATCCTTGAAGAAGGTCTGAAAGGATGGTGTTGAAGGTAGAGCTGAAGTCCACAAACAGGATCCTAGCATAGATTCTGCAGGACAAAGTGTAGGGCCATGTTGATGGCATCGTCTACAGACCTGTTGGCTCTGTATGCAAACTGCAGGGGGTCCAGGAGGGGGGCCGTGAGGGTCTTAAGATAGGAGAGAACCAGGCGCTCAAAAGACTTCCTGACCAGATGTCAGAGCCACAGGTCTGTAGTCTTTTCGTCCAGTGATCTTTGGCTTCTTGAAAGCTATATATGATATAAAAATTATATAAAAACTGTTAATCAGCAAAAGAAATGATATCATAGTTCTTATAAAGAAAGCCTCTATCAATCAAACACCAGCAGTGTAGCAATGTTGTTCACTTACACTGTATATAAAACACTGATTTTGGCTACATCCAGTTTTTACTGTATTATAAACATTTTTTACCATGAAGAGTAAAGTGTTTGGCATTTTTGTCATTGTTATTGAGCTCAGAGATCAGGCCCAGCCCAGTATCTACCTGGTTATGAGCAAGGAGCTGGAGGTGATAACTCAACAATAACCAGGCCATGCATGCATGGATGGATGCATGGATGGATCAGTTTGTAGGCTGTGTGTGGTCAGCAGCAGGCTGCTGGGTGTGGACCAAGAGGGAAAGCCCAGCATGTGAAACCCATCAGCAGAAGGCCAGAACAAAGGTGCACAGACAAACGCAGCCCAGACACTCAGGCAGGACGAGTAAAATAAATGGCAGCAAACACAGTATGATGTGGTAAAATGTGCTTTCTTTCACAAACAGATAGCACAAACAAGAATCACAAGAATCTCCTTTGTGGTTCTTGTTTTTCTTTTGAGTACATTAATAAAAAGTTGAAATAAAGTGGCAATAAAATTCATGCACTGAAGACCACACGAAACCCTAATTCACCCTACTACCTGTTGCCTTCACATTCCATTTGCATCCCTTGTCCACAGAATCAAAAATGACCCTTCTTCGCTAAAGATCGAACATAAAGCAATTGCATTTTAAATGGAAGCCCATTTTGCATTAAGAAACACTATCAGCAATCAGAAATTGTGTATATCAGAGTTCTCTGTTTTTACTGTCCTGAAAACTGCATTAATTCAGTGGATGCGGTTAGGTTCAAAACAACGTAATATAAGAGGGCAACCAATTCAATCTAAGAGGGATCCAATTTTTATCCATTCATGTACCAGCTACTGGCTTTTTGCTGTTATGTTCTCATATCGCGTGAGAGTTTATTTGCCAGGTGTCAGAAGTCTAATAATGAATAAAGTTCAGGATATGCTTAAAAACTCACCTCAGTATAGCCGTCATCAGAAGGAAGTGCGCTTCACTGACTCATCAACTTGTCTCAGGCTTTCCACAAAGTTTCACAGTTGACCTTAAAGTAAGATGCTGCAAGCTTACCTTGCAGTGTATTCCTTTTCAAGGTCTAAAGACCTTAAAGTGCGCTATAGATTGAAGTGATTTGAACTGACAACAGGGCTAATTCAGCACTTCAAGTTAACATCAATAAAAGTTTTTAAATTTATTCTGATTTCCGTTTGTTTTCATTGCCTGTGCTATCTGTTATTTAGTTCAAATTGTGGGTAGATAATGCTGTGCTGTCATGTGACCTGTTCTCTCATGTGTGCCTTTCTCTTGTTTTGTATGTATTTCTCGTTTGTTATTTATTCCTATTTTATTCCTGCAATTGGTATGGAATTCATTTTTTTTTAAAATTGATCAGTGTTTTGAAATTAGATGTGATGAACATGTGACCTTAATTTACAAAATCAACATCATGTTGGATTCAATGAGACATGAAACTAGTG